CCCCCCCCCATATTCTAGGGAGGCTCTGAGCTGCCCCTGGGAAGGGCCAGTTTGTCCTGGGTCCACCCGACCCAGATGGGGGCTTTGGCCTGTACCCCAGGGTGGGCGCCTTCCTCCCTTTTGGGCACTTAAGGGACTGGAGAGGGCGCCACCAACCCTCTCTCCCCCTCTCCAGGCACCTTTGGTGCGGCCCAGCCCTCTGTGGGTTGGGGTGCGTTCCTGGCAGAGGGCAACTGCTAGGAGGCCTCCTGGGCAGACTTGCTGGTTTGGAGTTGAGGGGGGTGCGGGTGGGGGTGAGGGGGTTGGAAAGTTATCTCCTCACCTTTTCCAGAGTTTCCCACCCGCCCTAGAGGCTGGAGTGGATCCCTGGACATGCCCCTACCATGCTCGCCCCTGCCCACGTCCCGCTCGGTGCCTCTGGAAGCGAGATCCATTAGAGTTCTGTCCTGATTAACATCTGTGTGTGTGGAAGCCGGTGGGAGGGAGGGGTGTGGGGCTTGTGCCCAGCCGGCCTGCCCACTGGGGTCCAGCATCCTTGGCCTGAGGGTCCGAGGCGGGGGGAGAGCCCGGAGCTGGTGGTAGTGTGGAGCTGTTGGTACCCATAGGTCCCCAGACAGAAAGATAATGCGCCTTATGAGCCTAGTTTCTCTGCCATTCCTAGATGACTTACTCAGTGCCGTACTCGGGGACTGCTGTGTTGACACGGCCAGCAGGGACTTTGCTCCTGGTGAGCAGGAACCTCCTGCCAGTGGGCGCAGCCTGGCCATTGGAGCGGACCCTGGGCTGACCGCCTTCTCCTTGCAGGGGGAGGGGAGCAAAGGGCGGGAATGTGACCTCAGGGAGGATTCCACTGGCTCCAAGGTCAGTCTGCCCACCCTGGGCTATAGCGGTGATAAAAGCCGGCCCTGTACCTCAAGGTGAACTGGGGACACCTGCCTGGTTGAATGTTTAACTGGGGCCAGATGGAAATGCAGTGACCTCAGGACCCGAATGAAGTGCAGACTCCAGTGTAGGGCTCCTGCTTGGCAGAGGACAGGGGTCCTGGGGCCGTGCCCTGCAGCTCAGGGGCGACAGTCCCACCACCAACTGCCTCCTCTGAGTCGAGCACCTTACAGAATTAGTGGATCTAATTCTCTGCCTCCAGAAGGCAGGGAAACCCGGTCCCACATTCCAAATGCACAGTCTGAGACTTCAAGAGGCGGTGAAGTGAGTAACCAAGGTTCCTGAGCTGAAAGAGGTGGCTGCAGGCTTCAGGCTCTGGTGCCCCCTGCAGTGTTCTCTGTTCCCTTCAGCCTTAGGCCCTCCTGCTAAAATACTGCCCCCCCCCCTTCTGGCTCTGTGGGGAATGGGGGTGAGGAGCACTCTCCCGGGCCCCTGGGGGCTCCTTCCCGGGGCCAGGGCCTGGAGGGGGCTGTGCAGTAGGAATACAGCACCACCGAGGATGTCATTGTACGTATCCTAGTAGCAGAATGTAAAAAGGTAAAAGACACAAGTGAAAATAATGTTATTGATCCCAGTAGAACCAAACAGTGCCGTTTACCCATATAATCAATATAAAAGAGTATTGAGGTATTTTACATCTTTTTTTTTTTGTACTGAGCTTTGAGATCCTGTAAACGCTTCTCAATTTGGACCAACCCCATTTTAAGGGCTCGGTAGCGAGGTGACAACACAGCTCCTCTGCTGCCTGGCTTCTGGTCTTGCCACAGATCGGTCCATCTCCAGGGTGGCACATCCTTTTCTGTACCTGTCTCCCACCCCTACAGACCAGATTTTGCAGAGCACCACCGACTTTGTCAGGTACACCCGAAGGCGGAACATTGGTGTCTTCCACCCGTCCTTCAACTTGTTCAGGTACCTGCAAGAATTCCTCCAGAGAAACCTCCCGGACAACGCCCACGAGCTCATCTCCGGCAGACTATGCATCTCGCTCACCAGAGTGTCCGATCTTGAAAGTGTCCTGGTGTCCGATTTTAAGTCCAAAGACGAAGTCGTGGACGTAAGCAGCGGGCCTGTCTGGGGGCTGTCCAACAAGAAGGGCTGTTTTATTTTGGGAGTAAACAGGGAGGGCTGCGCAGGCCACCTGCCCCATTTCTTAGGATGCAGAAGAACCTGGCTGACCGTGATGTGCTCGGCGTCCCTCGCCTCTGTGACATACTCTGTGCCCCCAGTGGTCTGGGCCATAGCGTCTGAAACCCCGCGAGTTCCAGGACCCTTTCAGTTTTAAATAATGCCTCCCCATCCTTCCTGGCTGGGCTCATGTCCACCTCCTCTGGGGACCCTGCTCCACGATGTCCCTCCTGCACATGACGACTGTTCCTTAATGAGAACAGCTTGCTTGAAGCCGCAAGAGGCGGGAGCAGGTCTTATTGGCCTCTGTCCTCAGGGCCTAGCACAGAGGAGGTTCTTTACAACATCAAAACACCATTTAATTTGGCCGATGCCTTTTATGAGAGTTCAATGGACATCATTTCACTTAGCGTGTTTCTGCATAAGAGCATCCTGGCTCCTGCGCCAGCAGCATCTCAGCAGTCAGCACCGTCTTTCCTTGAACCTTGTTTCTGGGTTTTTCTAGACAGCCAGCGCCTGCCAGTTCCCACACAGGTCCCTTCTCTCTGTGAGTCGTGCTGTGTCCTGCTCGATGCTCCCTAGCGCAGTGCTGCTCCGAGTGTGGCCCCTGGGCCAGTGCAGCCTCACCCGGGAGCTCCTTAGAATTGCACCCTGAGGCCCCACCTCCAACTGCTGCAAGAGAGTCCTGGGCTGGGGTCCGGAGTCGGCGGGTCTACAGGCCTTAGCCCGATCTGGTCCGCCCCAGTCAGTCACCCAGGCCGCAGCTCGAGGTCCGGTCTGCGACGGCCCGTTGTGACCCTTGGGGAGCGGGGACGGGAGGCGGTGCCCACAGGCAGTGTTGGGGCTGAAAGACAGTTGTGTAGGTCACTTCATCGTTCATTCGACCCGTTTATTACAGGGCCCGCTCTGTGCCAAGGGCACCTCCAGACCTGCTGCTCTTCTCACTTACAGAGAAGGCTTGTGGGGCCCGGGGGGCTCAAGGGCAGGCTGCTGGGCCCGTGGCCTCACCCTCTTTTGTCTCCACAGGCCTTGCTGTGCTCCTCCTTCATCCCCTATTTCTCGGGCTTGACCCCTCCTTCCTTCAGAGGCGTGGTGAGTCTGCCTGGAAGCGGTGCTTGCACAGCTCCTGCCTGCAGGGCACTAGGCTCGAGCACCCTAGGACCCCAAAGCAGGGCCTGTGCCTCTCAGCCTCCAGACAGGGATTCCACAGCTGCCCCCTCCCCCCAGGAGAACCAGCTTCACCCAGAGCCCGCTTTCTGGCTGCCTCTCAGGGAAGCCGGTTCCCTCAGTCTCCCCGTGAGCACCAAGGGTAGGTGCCCGGCGGCCTAGCTCAGGCCTGAGACGCTGAAGACGGGGCAGCTCGCTCTAAGCAGAGCTCTGCTCCTGGGGCGTGAGTGGCAATCCCCTCTGGGGCTGACTGTCCTTTAGCACGTGGCTTGGGGCAGAGCTGCCCACAGGGCTGCTGTTTGGTTCCACTCAACAAATATGTAAACACATTTGGCCAATTCTGAGCCCCGCGCGGGCAGGGGACAGAGCGGAGGGGTGTGTGCTGCAGGCTCGGGGCCTGCTCGGCTGCGGCTGAAAGAGGGATCCCCAAGCCCGGCCCTCCCCCGATCACCTGGGTCTCTGAGAAGCCTCTGCCCATAATCTGAAAAACGGCAAAACACCAACTGAGCGCTTCTGACAGGAGGTGCTTCTTTCCTCCTTAAAGCGCTACATGGACGGGAGCCTTTCTAACAGTTTGCCCTCCTTTGACGGCAAAACCACCATCACCGTGTGCCCCTTCTATGGGGAGTTCGACATCTGCCCTAAGCTCAAGTCCACGAACTTCCTTCACCTGGACATCGCCAAGCTCAATCTTCGCTTCTGCTTAGGGAACGTCTACCTGATAAGCCACATACTGTTCCCCCCGGACGTCAAGGTGAGTGGGGGGTGCTCAGCTCTTCCCTCCTGCTTGCTAGAGACCCGCCAGTGGGCTCCCTGGGGAACAAACCAAAGCGGAGGCGGCGCTGCCCACTCTGATTGATTAGCCGAGCGTGTCTCGGGTCCCACTGCGGGGTGCTGGGGGCTCAGTGCCGGCGGCCTCCCACGCCACGGGGGTCGCACCTGCACATTTGAGCGCCCACACGTCAAAAACAGACAGCCCTGGCGGTGTGGCTCAGTGCAGAGCGTTGGCCTGCGCACCGAAGGGTTGGTCCCGGGTTCGATTCCCGGGCGAGGGCACGTACCTGGGGTGCAGGTTCGACCCCTGGCCCCGGTTGGGGTGTATGCAGGAGGCCACCAACCGATGTGCTTCTCTCACATCCATGTTTCTCTCTCCTCCC